CATCTTCTATATATTAAGTATTTCAGGAATATTAATATGTTTAATAATAAACATTCTATGAAACAACTATCTATTATTTTATTAACTAATATTTGAAAAAACCAATGAGTTTAATGTAACACATTCATAGAAACATTTATAACTCATTTCTTTAATTGAAGATTCAATAATAATTGAATATATTGATTTAAATCTGGTAAAACAACAATTTCCTAATTTATTTATGGATATTGGAAGATTAACACATATTAAATATGAAAATTCATAAAAACATTTGTTTTTTTTTAATTCACTAATCGAATTTTGAATATTAACTGAAAGTAAAATAGAACAATTATAAAAACTGCAATCCTCTAATTTTGTAATTGAAGTTAGTAATTTGATACTAACTAATGAACGATATTCTCTGAACTATTCAAATTCTAATTCACAAATTGTTGTTTGAATACTAATATAAATAATTGAAATACACTCCATAAAACATGCAAACACTATTCTACTAACTAAGTTGGAATATGAAGAGAGGTTAGCAATGTACTTCTTTCAAAACTTATCATAGTTATTTCATTCAAAAGTATGCTATTTTCATTAACAAATTTTATATATACTATATTTATTCCAATTAAAGAATACATCTTTTAAAACAAATTTTCCCAATTTCTAATGGGTGTTGGAATAATAATTAATATTAATGACATGCATTCTTTAAAAACTACACCCTATTTTACTAACTGTTGAGGGAATAGTAATTGATGTTAATGATTATGCCAATGAAACAACAATCACTGTTTCTTTAACTTCTGATATTATATTAATTGGTTTCAATTTAGCATAATATTAAAACAATAATCTCCAATAGATTTAACTTCTGGTAGTATTATGGTTCCATATGAATCTCTACCTTTATAATATTCTGTATTTCTACAATCATTTTTATTTCCTTTTAAATATCTTAAATAACTTAGTTTATTCAATATTATTTGTAATTATGTTTCTGTCTTCAATTATTTTATCATCTTTAATATAAATATGAATTATTTCAATAGAAGTAACTTCTTAAATAATTATTTAAAAGAATTATATTAAAATGAAAATCATTCAATATTTCATTGAAATCTTTTAATTCCTATTTCTAAATTAATAAAATCATTAATATCATCAAAACTTTTGATGTTATCATTATTTCATTATATTCAGCTTCGTTCTTTTTTATTATTGTTTATTGCAGTATTTCTTTCCATATTTTTTATTTTATTGAGTTATACTTTAATGAGTTTTGTTTCTAATTTATACATCTATTTTTATAATATTTGTTTCAATATTGATAAATCTATTTAATTTATAAATTAAACTGACTGAGTAAGTTTATTTAATGGACTCTAATTTTATTATTTTGTTACTATTTGTACAACCAATGTGAAAAAAGTTCATTTAAGAAAAATAAAAGAAAACAAATAATATGTAAAAATAAAAAAGTTTATTGTTTGTTTTGAAAGATGAAATAGTTTTAATCTAATACTTATCACTATCTTGCAATATAACAAATCAAATACTAAATATATTCATACCTATATGATTAAATTTTATAAACTATTATATAATCATCAATCATATATAAATATTAAATAATGTCTCTATTTTTTTAAAATAATGAAATAAACTATTATAACAATTAATAAATTTTATCTTGAATGTAACAATTACCACATAGATATTTAGATTAATGTAAAAATGAATAAAATCTCATCAACTTTAATACTGTTATCGATTAAAGAATATTATTGAGTTATATTAAGAAAAATCAATAAACACAATACACCAAGAAGTGAAGAAAACAATTCACTTTAATTGAGTAACACTAGTTGTAATTAGTATTAATTGATTATTTATAAATTAATATAGAGAAAATAAATTAACAATTAATGTGTTAAATTAATCAAATAATATATGTGCATTATTATGAAATAAGAGATACTATATTGTTATTTAATAATCATAATAATATTAAAATAAAAGAATTATAAACAATAAACAAGTAATAATTATATAACAAGATTATGCATTTACAAAACAGGCAAATTAAACAAAGCTATTAATGAATTTGTTTGGATTAAAATAAACATTTACAAAAGAACAATTTTTAAACTAATACTCCTTTAGTAGATTCATAATAAATTTATTGTTAGAATCTGTATATAATTTAATACATGAACATTCTTAGAATATTGAACACCCATCAGTACATATTATTTATTGTTTATTTTATTAAATATTCTCATGCAACTAATAGTATTTGTTTATTGTTACTTTTAATGGGATTCAAAAAATAAAATGGTAAGATTTAAGTTTAATAAAAAATGTTGTTTGTAAC